TTTTCTTTAACGGAGAGTCTCCAGACTGATTAGCGAGTGAAACCTTGAAAGCTGGCGAGATCAGGATGGTCTCACGAGGCTACATAAAATATGCATGGAAAACAGTAATATCTTTTATAAAGCCATCTGGGAGGAAGGCAGGAACATGGGCTGTTTTACCGCAAATAGAAAGGCCTCCTGCCTTCAAAATAAAAGCACCATAAACCTTTTTTGAAGTCATTCAATATGAATCCGAAATGGGTGAATCAGGAACATTAGGTGCAAAAAAAACAAAACTAAAAAAACAAAACAAATACTATGTACATAAAAAGGATATCTGAATGGTGTTAGTTATAACAAAGTATCCATCCATTTTCTGACACGCTTAATCCCAAGTGGGGTGGTGAGGGGTGCTGGTACCTTTCTCCAGCTGTCTATGGGTGAGAGACGGGGTCCATCCTGGACAGGTCGCCAGTCCATCGCAGGGAAACACAGAGACAAACAACCATTCACGCACACACTCACACCTAAGTGGACTTTAGAGGAGCCAATTAACCTAACAGTCATGTTTTTAGACTGCGGAGCCGGAGTACCCGGAGAGAACCAACGCCACCTTCTTACTGCAAGGCAGCAGTGCTACCCACTGCTCCACTGAGCAGCCTTGTATAACAAAGCATTCTGGGTCATTTACTGGTTTCCAGACCTCTCCTTTCTAGCATCTAGTGAAATGATTTCAGGAAATCGTCCTGAGCCTCTGATGTCAAGTGTTTGTTCACAAATATTCACAAGCACAGACCTGTTAGGTAGTTGTCGATTTGTAAGAATGTGGACGGAAACCAGAACCAGGTGAGAACTGACTCAGGAGCTGAGCTGGCCATCATTTTTATTATCACTGTTGGACCTCTGCAGTTTCATCCTGCATCTTCAACAAAGTGGACCAGCTGTGGTCATCTGCTGGATGCATAAAGGATGATGTGCAGATCGTCACCAAAACACTGGGAAACGGTTAAGAGAAGCCTAATTTAGTGGTAAATATCACAGGAGAGAGATCACTTTAAAGGAATAGTACACCCAAAACATGATTAGCCTTCATTTTCTACTCACCCCCATGCTGAACAACACTCTGGAGTACTTTTTTG